CGTGACCAGCTCGCTTTCATCCCCGCTGCCCTTGAGCTCTAAGCCTGGCCCAGAATAGAGTCTAGTCTAAGAATAAAGCTCCAGCTTTCCCTGGACGGAAAAATAAGCTAAAAATAAGCCAAAAATACAAATACAAAACCCCGTATGAGCATCTTATCTTGGGGGTTCAGCCTCCACAGACACAGTGCGGTGCCGATGAATAAAGCTGGGCTCTGGTCCCACAGAGGCCGAGTGCGTCCATCCCGTGACACCCCGGTGGGACAGCGGTTCCCACCTCGTTCTTCCTCGCCGTGTGGCTCGTGTCACCCATGTCACCCATGTCACCCGTGTCACTCATGTCACCCGTGTCACCCATGTCACCCATGTCACCCGTGTCACCCGTGTCAGCCATGTCACCCGTGTCACTCATGTCACCCATGTCACCCGTGTCACTCATGTCACCCGTGTCACCCATGTCACCCATGTCACCCATGTCACCCGTGTCACTCATGTCACCCGTGTCACTCATATCACCTGTGTCACCCGTGTCACCCGTGTCACCCATGTCACTCATGTCACTCATGTCACCCGTGTCACTCATGTCACCCGTGTCACTCATATCACCTGTGTCACCCGTGTCACTTGTGTCACCCGTGTCACTCATGTCACCCATGTCACCCGTGTCACCCGTGTCACCCGTGTCACCCGTGTCACCCGTGTCACTCATGTCACCCGTGTCACCCGTGTCACTCATGTCACCCGTGTCACTCATGTCACCCGTGTCACCCGTGTCACTCATGTCACCTGTGTCACCCGTGTCACTCATGTCACCCGTGTCACCCGTGTCACTCATGTCACCCGTGTCACCCGTGTGGCCCGCGCTGAGGGGGACGCTGCCAGCAGGGGGAGCCCCGGCCGGGCGGCGGGAAAGCGTGAGGGAGGCGGAAAGAGGCGGGATGGAGGCGGAGAGAGGCGGAGAGAGAAGGGATGGAGGCGGGAGGAAGGAGGGAGGGAGGCGGAGAGAGGCGGGAGGGAGGCGGTGGCCGCCAGAGCGGGGCGGTGGCGGGTCCGCCGTGGCCTCAGGGTGGGCGCCTCAGAGCTGCCCCTTCGTTCCATTTCATTCACCTCCATCCCGTCTCCTTCAACTCACGAGTGTCTCTCCACCTCAGCACCCTCACCTCAGCACCCCCTCCTTCACCTCAGGGTTCCCCCTCCATCCTGGCTCCTTCACCTCAGCGTTTCCCCTCCATCCCATCTCCTTCACCTCAGCGTTTCCCCTCCATCCCATCTCCTTCACCTCAGGGTTTCACCTCCATCCCATCTCCTTCACCTCAGCATTTCCCCTCCATCCCGTCTCCCTCACCTCAGGGTTTCCCCTCCATCCTGGCTCCTTCCCCTCAGAGTTCCCCCTCCATCCCATCTCCTTCACCTCATGGTTTCCCCTCCATCCCGTCTCCTTCACCTCAGAGTTCCCTTCCATCCCATCTCCTTCACCTCATGGTTTCCCCTCCATCCCATCTCCTTCACCTCAGGGTTTCCCCTCCATCCCATCTCCTTCACCTCAAGGCTCATCCCTCTGTTTCAAATCGGAGCTGCGCAGCCCCAAGCCCTGGCCTGCATCCGAGGAGATCTCTGAAACAACCCCAGCGAGTTCCAAATAAAACACAGCCATTAACACCCTCCATAACCACCTAACTCAGCAGCAAGAACCCTCTGTCACAGCCAGGATCAAACTGCAACCCGGAGGAAAGCCAGGGAGTAAAAAATGGGTGAAGCTGCATCCTCAGACCCCTCATTCCCTTTGGAATCGCAGCTGAAAATGGGCTTTAAAAACACCACCTCGCTGCCCCCTTCCCTGGCACATCTCACACACATCTGCTCCGTAGTTCTGCCTCCGAGGATTTACTACGGTTTTCCCTCGCTTACTCTCTGTCCAGCCCCCATTTGCTTTTTTGGACCCTGGCAATCCRAGCTTGAGTATTTCAGTTGTCCAGTTGCCAATCAAAATATTTGAAGGAAATGTTTATTTTCTTCTCGAAATCACACCAGCTGCTGCACTAACTGAATAAGCCCATTTAGCTGTAAGAATTTAACCATTGTAAGAGTGAATTGAGTCCCCCAACTACTCCAAAATCTGACCCAATCTATCAGCGGAAATGTCAATGTTTTGGATGGGAGTTTGGGGAAGTGTGGAATGTGTATTAAATAAAAGCCATGTAAAGGTCAAAGCCMTGATTAGTAATGCCACTGTCTCCTSCTTAGGGCTGAGCTGCCCCAGGGACCGAGGAGGCCGGGACACACCCCGTGATTTAATTGTGCAGCTGCAATTTGCACCTTTTGAGGACCCCCAAGTCCCCCCTTCACACGTGGGGCTGGATAGAAACAGGCTTTCAAAGCTGCTCAAAAACCCCTTTCCAGATTAAACAACAGCGCTGCAGTGACACAGCAGCTCTCTCTCTCTGCCTCAGAGACTACATGGGTTTTTTCTTGGGTGGGTGGCGAGGAGATAAATGCRAAGAGATGCCCCTGATGGGAGCCAAACCTCGGCTGGGTCATG